CTTTTAAATGTCGTTAAAAGCTTATTGTCTAGGTTGGCAAATGTCAAAAAACATTATTATTTAAATTATTTAAATATCAGTTACACTTATTTTTGTCTCTCTTACAACAGAAACAGGAATGCTTTAATGGGATGTAATTCAGCAAAGTCTCACAAATTATATAAACCATGCTGCATCTATTGTTTGCTTTAGTTAACTCAAAGTTGCACTATTTCAGACAAGTATTTACTGCGTTTTATGCAGGACATGTTTGTTCATACTAAATCTCATTAAAGGTAAGTGATGCTTCTGTCTCTTACAACAACAACAGGACCCTTGGGATGAGATACCAGTTGGGGAGTGAACCGATTTTTATCTTTACAAAAGAAGGTAAGAGTCTCCGGCTCCCCGCCTGCTTCAGGGTAGCACAGAATGAAACAGGAATCTTTCTCCTTAACCCAGGTTAAAACCAATATTTTACAAATTTCGTAGTGAAATGCCACGCTCCATACCTCATGATCTTCTGGGACTTTTATTGTTGTCTTCAGATTTCCTTCCTTGGTGTATATTCGAACCGCCGTACGATCGTGTGTTGGTGTCATGATTTCATTCTGCTGGGAAATACTCAATGAAAATGCCCAACTCAAGCCGCGTTTAAACTTGTATTTCAATTGACACGTCTTGTCACAAACATACACATGAGGGACTTCGCTTTGGATGATGATAATATCATCGTCTTTGCATATCGCGATTCTAACTCGAGAAAAATCATTGTCCTCGAGAAAATCCAATGTATGATTTGCTTTTACATTGTAATTCTCGTCCAATATCGTCAATATGAATACTTCACCTGAACGTCTTCTCACCACGTAAACATTTTTATTCATATCAACAGCAAGCGCCCTTAAATAATAACCTGCAAATTCAGGTATTTTAACCCGTTTGATTTTTCCTGCCTCATGGATAATCATGATGTCGTCACGAGACCCAGTATCAAGGAAAGTAAGAACATCCCCCTGACTGTTCACAGCAGAGAAGTCGGGTCTTATTTTTTCATCAAGGAACTGTTCGTTTGGAGGATGAGGCAATTCCTCTCCCATAGACTTTCTTGTTGAAATTTTTTTCCAATTTCTTATTGGGTGAAAACTACGATCAGGAAGTTCAATCGTTGGCATGCAGGCGGACACTTCAAACGAATACTTGCCGCTGAATTTCCAAACATATTGAAACAACACATAGTTGATTAACATAACCGACTTGACGTTCTCCACTCGTTGAGTTTTATTCAACACCGATTTGACTCCACCGTTCAAATACACCGAGAATATCTCTTGAATGGCTGGTAAGCTATGAAGGGTCTCAAAAACGACAAACACCCAGTGACTGCGGTCTCAGGACTATCGACATGTTCCAGTATTTCTGAAACTATTCGTAGCTTCGCAGCAAAAATTCGATCTCCGATACTAAATGCCTCATTGCAGAAAGCAGTGGTTGCTGTCTCGCGCGCTTTCTTGAATCTTTCCCTCGCAGTTTCAAACTCTCTGTCCGAATTCATTTTAAGCTTTTCCATGGCGCGAGGAAGCTCTATTCCTTGGTTTAAGATACCAGACTGAATAACGCTCGAAGGTTCATCTGGTTCGTCCTGAGTTTCGCTCGCTTTCTGCTCGGGATTTGATTTATCAAGAGAAACACGGAGTAACTCTACTCCTTCTTTTAAAAAATTATAACTGGCGAGTAAAGTTGATCTAGAAAGGCCATCGATTTTAGACTTGATATCATTTAACTCTCGTACGACAATCTTTCGAATTTCTGCATCGGTTACATCGCCGTCTTTGAATTTGTCTGCCGTCGAGTCTCTGACCTTATTCCATAATAAACCAACTGTTGAACTGAGAATACTTGTCACAATTGAAGACATACCGAGTTTTTTCACTGAAGCCAAAAATTAAGGTTAAATTTTGACTAAACACTGGTGAATATGCTCAAACACATTCAATCATATGATTCCTAACGATGTTTTTATCTACGTTCTTCCGGAAACTTCATCACATGAGAAACAGGCGAGATATGAAGGTGTGAAGTTAGCCGCGGATTCGGCCTCAGATTGGCCCTTTTATTGGGCCTCACATTCAACTGTGTTCAATCATTCAAAAGTAGAATTTGGTTATTTAATAATAACAGGTTTTTTAGTCATTTTTTCGTTTAAACTTTAAAATTACGAATATGTATAGCTTATTTATGCATTGCTAGACTGTAATTAGAATAAAGCAGTCGATTTTATACAGATTTACAGAGTAAATTGATTATTATTTTAGGGCACTGTGTGAGAAGCGGTTGACCCACCTAGATGTGGCATAAACCGAACTGGTTTATTGCAATTCCTGTGTATACGTCTATGTTTTACAGAATTATACGGCCTTACAAATGGCGTGCATCATTGTGCTGCACAGTCCCAACATACTCGGGATTATTTGCTTCCTTGCTCAAATTAAAAATTTCATTATGATATAAATAAAAAAGACTTAACTAGTATATGATCCTCTCACCGACGCTATTAATGTTAATGTTACAATTTGCCAAAGTCAGTTGCTACAACAAGAATTAGCGTAGATGTGCATACAAATCAAAAGTACTATTGCCATATGACAAACAATGGTCCAATGAGGATTATAAGTTAAACTTGGCGCAACTTCCAGACGCATATATACGATCGTTTCAAACGTTATTTAGAACAGTATTTTCCCATCTATCAAAAAGTACACATCAGTTGAAGGCGCAGACGTTACACGCTGAATATTTGAGGGCAACAGCAACGACTCATTGCAAAAACATCTTACAATATTACATGGTGTTGACATATATATCCACGTTATCGTCCTAATTGTGCAATTTAAACTTATGCATTTCATACAAAATGCATGCCTATTCCATGCACTGCATTGAAGATAAAACTTCTGTTTACGAAGGTATGATTTCATTGTTCTGCATAATAATACAATGTGCTGTGCCGAGTTTTGCTGCAGTTTGTAGCGCAGACGATGCGCTTTCGATGAAGGAGAACGCTTCCTAGCCGTGTCATATCGAGATTTGCGATGTCAGATTTGCCTCGTTCTGATGTGTCGTCATAGTAATTGGAGACCATGTGCTCGCTCTATTTTGACATTTTGTTGTTAATTAAAGCATATGAGCCATCATCGGTAACCGAAATCAAAATATTCCGAACGCATATCACTAATCTGTGATTACTACTAGTATATTATAAATATCGATTCGCCGGGTGATCGCTTCAGAAGAAAGGTGTAGCGAACTATATATCCAAATTGATAATAATTGATGATCAGGGATAATCATGTATACACATTGGATGATAATGATGGATCACAACAAATATGTATGATAATGTATGATCGATGGATAACGGTGGACAATGATGGACAACGATGGATAACGGTTAGGTCGAATGGAATAAAGGTCATATCTGTAGTGATGATTAATGAAAAATTGTGATGACGGATCACTTTTATTTCTTACCCGTTCTAGTAATATGGTATTGACTGGTACCAGTTTTACCGGTTTCTGATGATCCTTTGTGTTTCCCAACAGCATTTCATCCTTATTTACAGACCCACTGACAGTATTTCCAGCGTGAAATGACAGTTATCTACAAAGGTTGAAAGATTTGAGCACCAATAGTTGAGCAATCTCGTCTCTCACTTATCAAGTCTTGTGGGAAAACTGGTGCAATGCCAGAACAGAGATAAAATAATAACAGTTCACCGAACGTACCTTCACAAATTCTGCATCTCGACTGGCAGAGATCAGGTGTGATTAGGCCCAGGTTTAATTGTGGTGATACATGATTTTCTGGTAATGTAAACCGTCTTTTGAAGTCAGTTTAAAGTTTTAACACAGCAAAGAGTTCTCGTTTGTGCTTGGCTCGATTGAATAAACTCGATAAATGCACGCCTGCCTTTTTAATAATTCGGGTCAATAACTTGGGATGAATTTCAACCTGTCTTGACTTGACGAATTGTGCGGTCATGTCAGAGAGATGTTTGTATTGGAAAGATGTCTGTATTACGATCAAGTTTTCTTCTTTTGATAGATGCAAACAAGTAGATAAGTTATGGACGTTCAGATAAGAACACGCATACATCATTACATCATTACTATTTCCTCATTCACATCAATCAAAAGTTAAAATGTCTGTAGTGTAGAGATAGAGATGTTTGTAATAGAGAAATGTCTGTATTAGAGAGATGTCTGTATTAAAGAGATGTCTGTATTAGAGAAATGTCTGTATTAGAGAGACGTTTGCATGTATTAGAGAGATGTCTGTATTAGAGACATGACTGTATTAGAGAGATGTCTGTATTAGAGAGATGCCTGTATTAGAGAGATGTCTGTATTAGAGAGATGCCTGTATTAGAGAGATGTCTGTATTAGAGAGATGTCTGTATTAGAGAGATGTCTGTATTAGAGAGATGCCTGTATTAGAGAGATGTCTGTATTAGAGAGATGTCTGTATTAGAGAGATGTCTGTATTAGGGAGGTGTCTTTATTAGAGAGATGTCTGTATTAGAGAGATGTCTGTATTAGAGAGGTGCCTGTATTAGAGAGATGCCTGTATTAGAGAGATGTCTGTATTAGAGAGATGTCTGTATTAGAGAGATGTCTGTATTAGGGAGGTGTCTTTATTAGAGAGGTGTCTGTATTAGAGAGATGTCTGTATTAGAGAGATGTCTCTATTAGAGAGATGTTTGTATAGAGATATGTTTGTGTTAGAGTGATGTCTGCATTAGAAATATGATACTCGCTTTGATATCAGTGCTAATATTAATAGATTAGAAATACATGCATGACATCTAGAAATAATTAATAATAATAAATTTCAAATAATCATCAAACGCAATAGTGGGCTGTTTCTATTCAAAAATTAAAATAAATATATATACAATACTGAACGGTAAACTCTCTAACAATAGAAATGCACGGACGCAAGTCTTTTTTTTCCAATCTTTGTGACTTTTGTCATGCAACTTCCTACATACTAGTGGCTTAATCCTAAAATATTGGGAATGTTAAGATATAGAATGAACATAAAACGTATCTTATTTCGTGAATTTATAAACATAATTCGTGAAATCTTTTCCGACACCAAACCAGCAGTCGTTGGAAGCACCATATTTGTCATATTCAATCATACTTCTTGCGCCCCAACACTCTCCGTAAAACTGCACAGCAAAATACTAAATAATATAATCAATGCTTGCTCATTGAAAAATGGAAGCGAAATTCATATTAGGTTAACGCAATGCAGTATTATTACTGTAAATATGAGAGGAATTGGTTCAAAATATCCATGTTGTGGATGGTCCAGTTATAATTGACTTTATTGAGGCCTGAGACAAACATAAAAGCCTTGCACTGGCCTGGTATTTTAATAATTTTATAAATACCTTGTATCCTTTGTCATAAGCAACACAGGCGCATTCTCTGACGGTCTTTTGCATGTCATACCAGTCTATTTTATCCCGGAGATTCGCAATCAAGTCTGGCAAAGCTCTTTTATAACGATCGTTAAAACATCCCAAGTGTTGTATACCTAAATATATACGAAGAGCTGTGTTTGACGTTTGCCTTGTGTGTTGATTTCAAGAACCGAACAATTGTCATTTGAACAAAGAGCTTTTGTAAAGTTCGTTTAAGATAAGCTCGCTGTAACAAAGTATCTTTGTTTCAAAACATGAGCCCCATTTTACTGTAGAAAGTTCACTTAAATATGTATCTTTGTTAATGGACACTAAAGTCATTGATGTGTACTTAATTTTATATTTGAAAAATTACAGTGAAAGTCAGTTGTTATCTGTTGTCCTAAATTCTGATCAATGGCCAGTCAACTCGGTTTAAATCGCATAGAACTCTTGTTGACGTTTGACCAAGCATTGATAGTTCCATCAAAAAAAAACCCTCATCCAGAAAAATTAACCTTTGTTTGCCAACTCGCATTCTCGTTGAATCAATGTTTCAAATGCAAAACCACTGTTAGCATTAAAAAATGTTTCCAATTTCTACCATCGCGAGGATCATGTTTTATTGAAGGATCAAGGCATTGTTGGTCTTATCAAAGGCCCTTCATCTATCGGAAGAACCAGTCGGGTTCCCTTAAGTAGTTTCAAAGTCAATCAGAGATGTACATTAATTTGAGGACCATCGATGAACTAAAATGATCATGTTTATCCCAGAGTGTAGCGACTTACCACAGGGCATTTCCTTGAAATTAATGTCATCCAAAGCCATGTCAGAATAAAAAGATCGGCCACGAATTGCTTCAAATTCCACCTAAATGAAAATTTGTGACGTAAGAATGTGAACAAGCAGTAGTTTTTTCACTGGAATAAAACCGTTTTAAGTAAACATTCGAAGATCAAAGATGCTTGGAAAGTATCGAATGATTTTGGATGATTTTGGTCATTGCCTTACGTTTACTCCAAAATAAAACTGCTACCTGGGACAACAAGATTGGGTCTAAATCACCGGGCGGTAGAACAAATATTAATTTACTTTTGGACCAGGGAGGGCCCCTCAACCCTCCTGTGTCTCCCGCTCCTGGTTTAGAATGGTGAACTGTTATTCCTATACCCTCATGCATGAACAAACTAATCAAAGCACAAACTAATCCTACGAAGTTTTATCGATGTATTTATTTCAATACATGGACAATTCAAAAATTTTACGAAAATATTTTTATCAGCTTCATTTTCACAACTGCTCTTTAACTGGATTAAAATGACTGTATACAAGTAAAAACAGTCCAATTAGAGCATTTCTTTCGAAATCCGGTGTAAGGCATTGCGATACTTCCATGGATGGCCCAAAAGTAATGTTGAAGAGTAAAAAAATTATCAACTATAACGAAAATATCATACAAACCTGGTAACTAGTCGTAGACACGTTAGATATTGTTGTGCTACCTAATATCCATCTGTTTCCCTGATCACCTTTCTTATCCCATATTATCCTCTTAGAACCCACAGGGTCTTTAATGTACACGCTGAGTTCTCCCATTGAGCGGCCATACATGTGATAGTACCAGGAAATGCAACGACATTGCGAGGGTGGAAACAGTTTGCTTGTTAGCAGAGCTGTGTCGTTCTCCTTGGCGGGGAAGCTGGCCTCGGTAAAAATGTAATGGCCTGGAAATTTGACGGTAATGGTAATTATGAATAATGGTGGATACTCTTGGATAATGGTGGATAATCATTTGTGGGATAATAGTGGATATTGAGGATCAGGTGAAACGATTAGTAACGATAGAAAATAATGAATAACTGTTTGATAATGATGGATAACCATGGAAAGTGAAGGATAGAGATGGCCCATGAGTTGGGATCAAAAGGGGATGACAAATGATGATGATGTATCCTAGAGATTTCTTACCCGTGCCAGTAGTATGGTCTTGATTTGGACCAGTGCTCCCGGTTGGTGTTGATCCTTTATGTGCTTGCCAGAAATAATCCATGTTTTTATAACGGTTCCAATGACAGTAACTACCACGCGTAAAATCACAGTTATCTACAAAGAAATAAAAGAATATTCCATCATTAGTTTAACGAGACTTCGCCTGAGGGTGAAAAATGATGGGCGGGCAGAGACAAGATGTTGTCTAACCAAGCTGAATTGAACTTATCCAAAAAACAAACCTGGGTTGCATGTACTGTTGGCGTAGCAATCTTTTTCTTCTTTCCCAACCCCTGGGCAGTCTTTCCCGCCATGCATCGGGGCGGGATCTGAACATTTTCTGGATCGATGACGCTTGCAATTTTCATCGCATTCTGTCCAAGAGGACCAGCGACCCCAATGACCAGCAACAGGAGCTGAAACGAGAAAATAAAAGCGTTTAAACAAGATAGACGAGCTCAGAGGTTGTATTTCTGGAACTTAGCCTCAAATGTGGTATAACAACTGCCAAAATAGACAAAACACTTCTCGACCTTTCGACCTGAGGTCCTTCGTCAGAAGACGAAAGTCGAGAAGTGTTTTGTCTATTTTGGCAATTGGTATACCACATTTGATGCTAAGTTGTTTGAAGACGATGCCACGCTGCTCCCTGGTTGTATTTCTGGAAGCCATTGGCAACCTCGCAAGCCAACGTGGGCCGTGGATCGAAGGTAGAAAACCCTGGCTTGTGGGGTTTAGGTAATTGCTTGCGTTCTAGTCAATGACTCATGCAATTATATCTAGCTATAGTATGTGTCACTGGTTCTGTCATAAGCGTAGAGGCCCGTGGGGGGGAGGGGAAGGCGTTCGTATTTTTACACGATGAAGGTGAGAAGGTCCCCCCTATCATTGAGAATCAATTTTTGTGTTCCCGTGAAAGATCACGAGTCACGACAGGGAAAAAAAAGGATCTCAGCCACTGATCTACGTATGTCACTGATATGCGATAAATTTAAGTGCTCGAAGTAAAGGACCTACCGTAACATTCCTCGTTCGTGCAATTCTGCCATTGAGATTCCACGCCATGCGACGATGCTCCAGGACAGTCCGCGTGGTTTGAAGAGAAACAATATCTTTGCCTTTTCTTAACACAATCTTTACTGCAAGGCGAAAAACTGGACCACTCGCTAAACCCAACGCCATTGACTATTTGAAAAGACGTGATATTCATTTAAGAAAGTTATACTGCTCCTTATTGATCAAATAACATGGAGGAACAAGCTGTTAGTAACAAATTTTAATCTTGCAGCAATTAGAATTTCTATTCAACAATTTGTAGAAACATCTTCACCTTGTTTATTTGTAATGCGCGAAGTTGCAAGAACATTATAAACTTGAAATTTGATAAAATACGTTGAAATGCTAGAATAAGCTTGCTAAAAGTCTCCAATACTTACTGTGGCAATTATACAATGAATTAAGTTTGATTAAGTCAATTTTACTGAAGCCATCTCGCTGTCCAATGCTCGCACCAGAGATCGCCTTAATGGTGGCTTTCCCATTCTTTGTAAATGCTTTCGTTCCGTAATGCATCACGGACTCGTAGTCATATTGTACCCCGAGAACATCCAAATACTCGTGGCTGTATTTGTTAAAATTATGAGATTCCTCTACACAAAAGAATGTCTTTCTTAGTAACGAGAAAACACAAATTTCAACTGATCGTCAAGTCATATGCGAGATCAGCTTCGTCTTTCTTAGGCGCGTAGCAACTCCCAGAATAATTAGAGTTCTTTGGATGACCTTGTCTTCGACCATTTGGGAGGGGGAGGAGGAGGGGGGGGAGGGAGGGGAGGGAGGAGGGAGAGGCACACTTTTCTACGGGTGGGGGCGGGGGTTGTTAAATGGGTTGGAGCGCTGCCCTCTGGTTAGAGGCACAGGTGCGATTTATTCGTATATTCGAACTGAGCACCTCTGCTGATGAAAGTTGGGAGTTTTCGAAAAATTTCGATATTCAACGTCTACAAGCTCCAATGATAGGTTTTAGAGTCTCTTTAAACTTCCATATCTCCCGAATTCCTTACTTTCGATAATATTTTCCCAGAATATTTCCACATACTGATCTCTATCCGGTCTGGACTGCTCGTGGTAAAACCCAAGAGCATGAAGTATTTCGTGGATGATTACTCCTCGACTGTAACAGCCTGAACCGAGCGATATGCTTTGGGGGCCTGGGCTCAAATAATCGCGACCAATGAACGACCAGCACCTACGACAGAAATTGAGAAAATGTCAATTGAGAACATAATCGTAGCACAGTTGCCGGTTAGTTTTTTCTTCCGGGTTTCTTGCAACTTGCAAAGCAATTCTACATGTTAAGAGATGTAAATTAGTGAAGAGGGATCTAAAAAAGGATAAGAATAGAGTGTAATAAGCACAAACGTTTCTGGGCTGCAAATATACATCTCTCAAAAGAAGAATTGCATTTGCAAGTTGCAAGAAAAATTGCACAGTGTAACAGGGCCTTAAAATATTCACCCAGAACCGCTGAAGAAGTTGATCCAGTTTTTCTCTGTCGATCTCACTGTAAATCTAAGGCAGGAATGTTTGTGAAAGTACTCCAAAGCATCCTGTATTTTGGTGTGTACATCCGGGCCTGAAAAAATTACATGTATTCAATTCAGTTAGTAGCCCGGGAAATTACTACGCTAATCATTGTCCCTTCAATAAAAAGCATGCAGAATTACGAGGGGGAAAGGCATTTGCTTTGGCTTAAACGGCAAATTTGTCTATATTTTTCAGGTTAAGCCAATCAAAATGCTTAAATGGTTAATGCTACAAATTTCTTCATTGGTCAAAAACGAAATTCCTTCTTGTAATAGCAGTCAGTACTCTCTGGGGAACAAAGCCCAAGTATCCACGACTTCTGTCCATTCCAGGCGATCAAGTGACAATATATGCTCACCAAAGTCATTTGATATTTCGTAGGGTATAACACGAGTTGGCCAAAGCTTAGATCTGTCTCTCAAAGCGTTTCTCTTCTTGTTCGTGTCGCCGTTTCTGTTTTTAAGATCACCGTCTCTTAGTCTCACATCGCCTTCAAAAAGCTTGTACAAACCTTGCTCTAGTGAATAGAGACATATTAGTTGAGAACTGTGGCCGATCGTATGACTTGAGTGTTGATATAATAAGTATAATAAATTGCAATTTTAGCATAATGTAACGAGTTCTTCCCAGTTATGATAATCAAAGATAATATGCGAATAATCATGTTTTAATGATGATGATTATGATAATGATCACATCCGGAAGGTGATGACGAAGCAATCGTTATTTACTCACTAGTATTGATTTCAACAATTTTGTCCATGGCTGCCACGTCTCCCCCGTCCTCTTCTGCGAAATCTGTGGAAAAAACCCCAAGATTCCTTGAAATGATTCCTTGGTTCTACAAACTGGTACACACAATGCTTCATAGACTAGCGAGATCAAATTACACACTGCTGTATAGATATCATACAGACTTCTATAGATATCATTCATGGATAATGCAGAAAGTTTTAACTCTCTTTGCAGACGTATAAAACGTCCTATCAGCTAGGGTTTTTGTAAAAGCCATGTTGGCAAATACAAATTATAAACATGCCGGTTTTTTTCAATCTATAAGCCTGTTTTAAGCAGTGATCTTTACTGTGCAAACCAGTCGACTTGAAATGTCGACTACCTAATATAACTTTAAGGTCATTGGACACAACTAGACAACTCTTCTTTCGAAACATACTTTCAGCACCAAATACAGCTGCCATTTAAGTCAATTCTTTATCCGAAACTTTTCTGCTGAATGTAACACAGACCGTGAATGTGTCTATCAGTTCGCAGTAGACAAATTTCTTAACAGATTTCTCTACACAAGGCTGTAATATACTAAAACTGTTTCAACAAACTGTACGTTACCTTTCGAAAAACTCCTTCCAAAGGCATCACCGGTTAGGAGTAGAAAAAGGCTAAGAAAATACAGTTTATTCATTTGTGGACGTTTTAGTTTTATTTCATAAATCTATAGCCGATGTTCACAGGACTGTCAAAGTCTTTCCTGATCAGTAAGGAAGTGTTGTGATTAATGAATGTTTTTAATACAGAGCACACTAGTTAGTAAGGTATCATTAATGGAGTAAAATTAATAATCTGTTAAAGTTCTCACGTTTGTTTGACAAACAAAGCGTAGGATGTCTTCGGTGAAAAACATCATTGTAAACACCGACCATCACAAAGAGGATTAAGACAAAGCCGCGCCATCGTTCAGGACAATTTTAATGGCCGAAAATCACCTCTAATCAACGCTATTTGAGTTATTACTATTCATAAAGTGAAATTAAGGTTCAAATTCGAACGGGCCTGTCCATTAATACGACTGTGAGGCTGTGAGCGTATTTACCTGTCTTAACTGGCTTGTTTATGATCTATTAAATACATGACAATAATAAACGGAGTCAATTTTGTTGCATTTTATTGCAGTTCACACGAAGAAAATTTTGCAGAGGTGTATCGCGTAGGTGCAACGAATTTGGATTGCAAAACAAGGTGAAAACACTTTTCATGGCAGCCCGCTGTTGTCTCGAGAGAAAAATTAGATTATACACATCATTCTCTGCATTCATTTTAAAATGACACGCCAGTTCCTATCAGTTCTAAACTGTTCTTTCTAGAGGTCCAACAAGGATCATCTCTTATTTTGATCCATGCAGTGTTACTACAGGAGGAAACCTAAACTAAACTAACTTTATTTATACTGGATAGCTCTATCAGTTCTAAACTGTTCTTCCTAGAGGTGTAGTAAAGATCATCTCTTATTGATTCAGTGTTACTACAGGAGGAAACCTAAAGTACAGTTCGACTCAAATTTGTGCATATTCAGTTGTTTTATAGTTGGAAGATGGTTAGTGCAGGATGAAGGTAGATTTTTTGAAATCGGGGCATATATACATACCTCTTTCTGAATTGTCGTCCAAAGTTGCGTGATATTTCTATATTTGGCCATCTGAAGGAGTTCTACATCGTTAAATGAAAGAAAAACAATGTTATTAAAAATTAAACGAATTGACATAAGTTGTTTATTGTTATCAAATAAAATGAGTTTACACGAAATACTTGCATGTACAATTAATTATCATCCCACTACTCGAGACGCCAATATTTCACGCGTGTCACTTGCGATACGAATATCTTCAAACAAGGCAAATGATTAATGGTGGTGCAGTCACCATGGAGTCAGCATGGAAATAATGAAATGTTCGCTTCTCTCTAACAAACTAGAGATGCGCTAGTTATCAACGTACGTGGCCCAACACGTTTGAGATCTTTTTCAGGTAGTTAAGAGTAAAAATACAAATCATGACAGCTTATTGTAAAGTACTACCTACACTTATAACCACGGCACCATGCATGCATGTTCGAAAAATTTAAAGCAAAACAAGTATTATTTCCTCAGGCCAAAGAGCTAGAATAATTAATCTATAGTATATCCGTCTAGAATTGGGGTCTATAATTTCATAAACTGAACATTGAATGGATGAGAACTCTTCCTTTGTTAAAAGAGATTTTCGTGACCTAAATTAGCTCGGCAGATTTCAAATAGCCTGATCCAAATACCTTTTGTGTATGCATTAAGACATAAATATATGAAATTTCTACCCCTATAGACACTATAAAATCAAGGAAAGTGTACTCTGTCAACAGCTCTACTTAAAGCTTGTGTATACAAACTTATATATTTATCAATCTGTATGAGAAACACGTTAACAATTTACATAAACATACTAACAATACTTAATACAACACGATTTTTTCAGAAGTAAAGGCAGGTGCTGTTAAGCCGATTTTTATAAGCTGAATTTGCACGGCAAATTTTCACATGACGAAAATATTTTGAAATTTGACAGATTTTTTAGACGAAAAATCAAATGCTATTCAATTTTGTTAAAAAAGAAAAATAGCAATATGACGATATATATTCTACGTTAAAAAGACTATGGATGTTGTATTTCCCATCGTGTCGTTTCCTTGACTTTAGTTATATCACCGCGCAACTTAAAGACCCGTACACAATACAAAATTTTCACTGGGGGGGGGGGGGGGGGAGGTTATAGTCAATTGAAAACATGTGTTGCAATAAATTTGATTCTTGTAAAATCCACATTTAATACCTGGGAAATTCGGCCTCCCATTATTGCGAAATTCAGCCCCTCTGAAGAAATATAGTTAACTTTATTTTAGGGCTACAAAATCAAAGTTTTCCCCGACACTTATTATATAAGATGAAATTGTGCTCAACATTTACAGTTAGTTCAGGTATTGGCTCTGGGCCTCTGGCTCTGTCCATTGTCTAAACGGAAGGAACCGCCAAGAGTCAACCTGGGGTTATTGTGTAAGGGTAAATAACACATATCACCTTGGACATTTCACTCGATAAACTGGGATAGATATCAAAGAGTCCATAGTTGATGGCAAATCGAGCAGAATTTGGTCATATTTAAGACCTGATCGGGCTGAAAGATTTCAGCCTAAATGAACACTTTGAAGCTCTGATATTTATTCTCAACCAGCAGAATACTCGCAATTTTTCACTTACATTTTACACCGAGGTAACTATCAAACTTCTAGCTTTCAAATTGCTTCCATTTTGCACCAAAGCGATCAATAATGGTCTGACACGATCTCACGAAGAAACAGCGCACTCGCGAATTACTTTCGCTTTCGGGATTTCGAAACACCTCGATATTTCAACCACTTGCCCCAACGAATGGATGTGGTGATTTGGTGACATCTTTAGCAAAAACACTTCGGTCTCCGGCTGTTACAAGTTACTTTAAACGCTTTGAGGCTACAAGGCTCCTCGCGATAAAGATTTTACATGCGTTAATCGACTAAATAGCGGGCGAACTTATCTTCCTCGACCTCGCTTGCCCGACAAAAGTAAAAAGAGAAGAAACTTGAAGAAATCCCGAGGTAATCAACCTTGAAGGCAAAGCATTATCTTTTGTCTTTAATACAGAATGAGTCGAATATCTGGGTCCATGCTGTTATATAAAAGATGAGTTAACTTTTAACTGTAGTCAAGGACTGAGAATTGGCCAATCTGATTTGTGTATTTCTGAGGAAAGTCAGGAAACTAGGATTTAACTATGCAAAGTGTAGTTAAAAAGAGTTTATACAACCGTATCCATGTGTAATCTGGCAGAATCAGCCTAAAGTGAATCAATAATTAATCTAAAATTTAAATATTGTTCCTTTGGGAGTTAAGATGTATTTTAAACGTGCGCTAGATAATAACAGCAGACAATCGCTCAGTTTCTTTTGAACAAAGGAAATTGTTTATTTCAGTCAGCTGAAAGTACGCGACCTCAAACCCCGCGCTGTGGGTTTTTGCCTCTCGCCCGCGTCGTAATTCGTTGGTTTGAATCCTTAGAAGAATGTTTTTCGTGACAACCGTATTATTATAGAAATATAGGCGTCGCTATACATTTTAATAAGGTAGTTTAAAAATTGGTGACTCCAAAACAATCACGAAACTACACATGCAGACGGATTGTTATCTCAAATTTTATTAAATAAAATAAATATCTATCTTTTCAGCGATGGTGCTTAAATATACATTTAACATGTTCATATTAAAGCTATGACGCTTTTTATATCCACATATGCTCTGACTAGAGCAGAGAATTAGCTACACTATTTCTATAACACGAGCTTCTGGAGACTAGAATACATGATAGCCTTTAAATGTTATACTTCAAAACTAGAAGACATCCGAATGAATGCTGCACAAATTTGTTGTTCAAAAACTCGGGTTAGCCTAGGTTGAATTTGACGCGTGCATGTATATAGTAATACTAGGTTTGTTTACATCTTTCTTCATGGCGAACCATTAAGAAATTCGAGAAAGTTAAACATCTATTTATCCTGCAAACAAGATTAAGTTTGTAAGAAACCAGTTGAAAGATTTGACTCGTGTTTTTGAACAACGAATAGACACTTCCTGAATTTGCTCGAGTGCACGGCAAAACCGTTATTGTTAGTGGGATGGTTTTCATTCCGGAAGTGACTATTCAGGGCATTCCCACGACAGGCGCGACTTAAAATTTGCCGAACGTCTTGTGCAGAAGACGTTTCAGTAAAATATTGTATTCCGGCAGAGCAAATATATGAAATTCTTCAATGAATGAATCCATCTTTCGATAGCGCTCTATCACTCACTGTTTTCACAAAATGGCTAAAATGAGCCTTTGTAAAAACTGACACAAATTTAACGTTCACGCGCGCCAATGATTCAAAGTCATACTATTTAACTGCGAATGTAACCCCGATATATGACAGTAGTGAGCAAGCGACGGTTTTGAGAACACGTACGTTGACCGGAAGTAAAGTTTTTCAACAATCACAGTCACAATTAAAGTTGTAAACTTTCAGTTCACCAATCACAATCCTTACCCCCAGCCTTTTGATGTTACTCATGCCGTCTCCGTTGTCAAAAACGTCACATGCTTAACTAGTGTTAATGTTAAAAGGGTCCATCATTGCTTTAATTTTTACACAAGTATAAAAACATCACTGGTGCCATCTTCAGATAAGACTCTTAGCCACTCGAGGGGCAGCCTTGACAACTCGCGCCTCAAATTATAGAAAATATTACTTGCTAATATGAAAACCCACCAAAATTCCAACTTGTATGTTTGCATGACAAAATACGTTTTTACGTTACGAATTAGAATCAACAATTGCTGCTGACGAACAATATAATAGACTATCCTATAATAAATATTTTTATAAATTTTTTCATATGTCGTAGACACCCGTAAAATGCGTTTATTGCATAGAAATAAGTCAAATAACTAATAACGAACGATGCTTTATATATATTTTCACACGGTTTTGAGGTTCTGACATAATTTTGACACCACCATGGATATGAAACAATTTCGAAATCCAGGATTCGGCGTTAAAGTCCCAACACAGCTGATGTGCAACGAATATTGTATTTCCCACTGCGACAGCGCCGAAAAAAAATATAAATCCAGGTTTTTCTCGCTAAAAACACATCAATTTACAGAGCAGGATCCAAGATGCCACGCGCGTATTTCATTACATCTGAACTCCATACAGGCACTGTATGCATTTCGCCAATTTTGTTTTTTCTCTGTTTAACACTCTTGACCGCAAATTTCCTCAAAAAAAAAAGCCTATTCGCAATCTTCTCTTCAATGAATTGAAACTCCACTCTTTCGTATATCCATCTACCAGTAAGGTTAGCCTACGGCGGCTTTTGCCTCGTGATTACATTTTGTAAAGATCCTTCGAGGTTGATCGAGGTGTTCTGGGCTTGTCATGTGACTGGTCACCATTCCTCCACGTTCAGGCGATCGAGACGCCCGATACAGACATGGACACCTCGCGGCTTGCCTCGGACACAGTCCTTCTCGAGCTCGTGTCCAGTTTACGGGACATTCGATGGAGCTCTTCGTCAGAATACCTCTCTGTGTTTAGGAGGAATTCTTGAATCTCGGAGACCTGCCAGGATAAACTCTTGTTAGACGCAAGC